CGGCTGCGAGAGGAGCGAGGCTTCGCCGCCGCCGCCGCCTCGACAAACTTTTCCAACCTGACTTCTTTTCCTCCTCTTTCAGTTTCGGCCAACCTTAATTCGTGGCATCCAAATCGGTGTCCCTTAGGAGTCCCCTTTGGCCGGGCTCACAAGCGGCAGCACTGGGAAGCTGTGACCAAGTGGCGCCTTGTCCAGTGTTCCCGTGCACCTGTGTGGGGAATGCGGGTTAAGAAGTAGCCACTCCGATTGCGATCTCGAAGCGATAGAATGGCTGCCGCCAGCAGCTTTCATTTCGTTTCGTTTCGTTTCAGCACTCCCTGTTTGAACTGTCCTCACTGGCTGCCTAACGGTTGTAATTTTGTTCTAGATTATAGCTTTTGATGAGTTGAAGACTGACTACAAGAATCCAATAGACCAGTGTAATACGCTGAACCCTGTAAGTTTACACAAGAGAGATCTATTTGTATTTTTTTGCATTAATTCCTAGTCGGGGTGGGCTGTGAATGTGGACTTAACATACATTGGTAAAATGGTGTTCAGTAATATCTGATGGATTTAAGATTTCTTGGCAGAATTCTTTCTCTGTCCTCCCCCTCTCCCCAAGCTTGAACTTCTGACTTATTTATCTGCTGGTGATCTTGTCAGCTGCAATACTAACATTCTTTCAATCTGCTTTTTACATTTTCGGCACAAAGACAGTTGAAAAGGTTAAAAAGATTAAAAGAGTCAAAATTGCATTAAAGGTGTGTACTGCTTTTTAGTTTAATGTCTTAATGCCACTCTTCTTTGCTTTCCATTTTGTTAGGAACATCTGTATGATTTATGTTAACTAGTTATTGTTCAGTGTGCTCATTCATCTGCCTGTCTTTTGTCCAATAAGGAGTTGTAATAGCTTCACGGACTTTGTGCATTGTAAGTTCACTTGCTTAATAAGAGATGGGGAAAACTGTTACATGCTTAAACTCTTTTATAATTAAGTCAGGGTTACTAACAAATCTTTGTGCCAAGGATTTACTAGAGTTGACTTTGAGTTTAACTGGAAAAAAAATGCCAGGTTCCTTCTTAATCAGAGTTTGCAAATTGAGTTCACGCCTAAACTTTGGTTAAGGTGGAGCCCTGCTTAGTATGGATTCAGATTTAACTCTAAGGTATGATAAAGGTAACTTGTTGCAGAAGGGTGTGTGGGGGAGAGAAGGCAAGATGGTTTCCTATGGTGGGTTCCTTGATCCATGCTTTGCATTGGCAGCATTACATCTGCATGTGACCTTGAGGAGAGGCAGAACCCATCTTAATGAATGAATGAATGAAATTTAAATTAGAATTGGAAAAATGACAGTTTGTGGGCCTGTGCTTTGAGGTGGCTCTTCTGGGTACAGATGCAAGCTCTGCTTCGTCTGGCTTTTTAGAGTTGTCGCCCAACTGCCAGCATGTTTCCCGCCGTTAGCTTTTGGGTTGGATGCAGCTGTTCAGGTTGCAGGCAAAATATAGCAGGCACTTGTATATACACTGACATGCTCAGAAGGACTGGAGGTCCTCGTGCGTTCCCTCTTTTTTACTATTTTCTTCATTAACAAAGTTTTTTGAGAAAGCCAGGGGGACGCTGCCGCTCCTTTTCTCCATGTCTTTTTTGGTTAGAATTGTTGGAATGCATCCTGCTAGAGGACTTTATAGGATAGTCGTGGTATCCTGAGATGTTGAGCCAGAGGGTGGCAGGAGGAAGTGGTGCCCGTGGTCACCTAGAAATAAATCCCGGGCTGCGTATGTGTGACAGCCAGGAGGTGCTTGCACAAAGCGGGCATGTGGAGGAGACCGAATGCTGTGAGCCCGGATAGCTGCTGCGCATGGAACAGTTTACCCTACTCAGTCATCTCTCATTTGATGTGGAAGGGTGAGAGAATGTTCGCAACACGTATGCATCCCCTTATCACAGACATCTAACTAAAAAGTGACTGCCGCATGCATGCTCGACATGATTACCAGTGCCTCTCTGAGCTGTATGTTTGTTAACTGTGTCTCAAAGAATACAGGCGAGGGTCTTTGGATTGTCACGGGACTGAACTGTGTTCCTGTCGATGCATCCTTACGGAGGTGCGGCAGGAAGCCATGAGCTTTAAAGACCCATTCAGACAGAAATAACTTGCAACACAAGAAATGGCCAGCAATGTTCGCATTAAACTGTGGGGGAGATGAGCTGCTTAGGGCCTTCTAGATGTTTGGATCTGTCACTTTGTTGATTCCTAGCCCCACTGCAGCCCATAGCGATGGACGAGAGAGTCATGGGCTGGAAAATCTAGAAGAGCACAAGGTCCCCACCCAGAACAATGTTACCTGCTGTGTGAATGAGCTTTTAAAATAATTCAAAATAATTTAAATCACTTACTCTGAGGCTTATCTTGCTTCTCAGAAGTGCAATTGGAATTTTTACCTGCGGAACTTGGCATAGTTTGTGCCTCTTCCTTTCATATTAGATGCCTTGTGCAGCAGACAAATCCAGGAATGTCAGCGCAACAGTAGCTTTTGTGATGTGTGCCAGTTTTTGGTGGTACAGACTGCTGGCTATAATATTCCCCCCACCTCAATATAAACGAAAGGGTTTCACAGGGAAGTGTGATGGCTGAAAAATGAATATATCAGAAATGAAAATCGCAAATCCACTTTCTTAGGGCATAAAACCCCTGGCTACTCAAAACTTAATTCTGGGGTTTTTCCAGCCCTATTGCTGCTTTCTGCAGGGTGCAGTTTGTGTTGTCTCTATTTATGCACACTGATTTTTACTATGGTACCAGCCCTAACTCTGCCTTTGTAAAAAGAGGAATGCTTAAAAAAACCTCAGGACTTCCAAACATCAGAATTTAGATAAATGACCGCAACACAACTTTAGCTGAATAGTCTGAAACATCCGAAACAAACAAAAAATGTAGTGTGGAATTGTGCAGTTTTTGAATCTTAGTTTGAAAACAGAAATTTTCAGAATTGCTTCTTAGTTTCATGATTATGAAGGCAACTTAATCTGATGGAATGTTCTAAAACCTTACATTCTTGAAAGCAGATAAAATTCAGAATTGTTTTAAAATCTCTCTAGTGGATTTTCTAGACTAAATAAATAAACCACAATTTTTAAGGGGCAGTTGGTTTTCAGAGGCATGCTTTCATCCCTCCCACTTTGGACATGGAAACTTGCTACCTCAGAATCTCTGGAGTTGCTTTATGAAAATAAAACCCCACATATCCTGTCTTCTTTGGGGCTTACGTTTACGTGTAGGTGTATAATTCGGGCTTGCACAGTTGGCGTTTTAACCCCTAAATGTTGCAGTGAGATTCTGGGCCAGTTTTGCCTCTAGGCAGCTCAGGTCCTGCCAGGGAGCTCCACCGCAGGCGCTGAGAGAGAATCTTCCCACTCTCACTGCCGTGGTGCCTTCCAGATGTTTCGGACTTCACTGCCAATCCAGCCCAGCCAGCATGGGCAGTGCTGAGAAATTCTGGGCTTGTAGTCAGGGCACCACGTTTAAGAAGGCTGCTGTATGCCCATCTGCTACTCTAACAAAAAGTTAGATGGAAAATTTCTCGAGTGACTCTTAACTTCCCCTGGAATTGAAGTTGAGCAATGGGAGGCGTGTACGAGCCCTTAACGTGCCCAATGCGTTTCTTCAGAATATGCAGAGCTGCTTTTTTTTTACAGTCAGATTGCATATTTAGTAAATGGTAAATGGCCAGCGCTGTGCGAATTTTACCCAGGGTACGTAAAACAGGGAAACCAGGTAGACAGGAGTTCTGCTGACTGATCTGGTCTAATGCTAGCTTTGCTTATCGCATCCCTTTCCTTGTTTCCCCTAAAAACTTACGCGCACTGAATGTGGAAATGGAATAGGCTGACTTGTGTGTCTTCCTTTACAGCTTGTACTTCCAGAGTACCTCATCCATGCGTTCTTCTGTGTTATGTTTCTGTGTGCAACAGAATGGCTTACGCTGAGTCTCAATATGCCGCTGTTGGCTTACCACATTTGGAGGTAATTCTGGACATGGTTTAGTATCCGCTTATTCATGGACAACTTCTTACCGCGCTGTCTCAGGTGGACTTTCTCCTGAAACCTAAGCATATGGAGAAACTGGGTTAATGATTTTGCCGAGTTTTTTGTAACCTACACACACGACCTTCAACGAATGATTAGTACTGTAGCCAAGCAGCTCAGAAAAATTGGTTTCTGCCTGTCTTGTCTTTGACTTAAAGGAAAGCAGGTTTCTCTTTCCTTGGCTGGAAGGAAATCAGCAGATAATGCAGTCCTTGATCTCCGTGCCATATACACTTCTTTGTCTTTCCCATCATTTCCATTTGAAAAGTAGATGGAGGTTCCCTTTTCTGTTGCATTACAGGACATCAGTGTTTAACCTTTTATTGTTGTTATAACTCTTTCTAGCTGTTAAAAGGGCATGGAGAATCCATTTTTGCAGACTATTTGTTAATTTCCATGGTGCAAGTAAATAAATGTTAAAAAGCATTGGATTGAATATTAAAGACTGTTTGAGTATAAACTGTATTTGCATAATAGCCTCCCTGCAAAAAGAAACAGCTACTAGACATTTCCAAAATGTGTGTTTAAAAGAAACATTAGCTGTATTGCATCATCAGGGGTTGGCTGAATTAGGCGATTCCTTACTCCGGAGATGTCACGGCGCCCAGCGGACACAAAGCAAATGTTTTGCTGAATAAGATTCAGCCGAAGATCCACGCACATGGGTGCCATAGCAGGGAGCTGCTGATCAGGCGTTTTGTGGCGGCGCGGACACAGACATTTTTCCAATTCCCAGATAGACCCTCCAGTCTAAAATGGTTGGGACCCCTTCCCGAAATCAGTACCATGTCTTGCATCAAGGCCACATCCTTCTCAGCATAAGGTCATAACTGAATATGTTAGCTCCAAGCAACAGTCTGCCGCTCTGCGTGGATTGTGCAATCATGTGGATGCTTTAGGAAGATCCCAACCACAGCAAGATAAAAATAGGTCTCTGTTGCTTGTCCCAGCGCATCACAGGTAATCGGAGCTCACCTTCCTTGAGTTGTTATGACTCATAGGTGTTTCTGCCTGATCTTTTCTGTCCAAATGGCTTGCCTCTTAAACACAAAAGCATAAATACTTAGGTTTTCTTTCAGATGCCAGTTACAACAAATTCAGAACAGGGTGTGTTATCACCTTTTTTTCTATTAATGATTTTTTTTAACATAAGCAAATACAGAAAAAAGAGAAACACGTATGAAACAAGCAAGCTGAAATGAACAAAGTTGCCAAGGGAATTTTACACAAATACAACCAATGCCTTCAAAACTTTCAACCCCCCAAATTTATCTTTCTGACTTTCAGCCCTCTATGGGAGTTTAGCAAAAAGGAAATAATTAATCTATACAACAGCCAATCTTCCAATTGTTTCAAATCCTCTACTGCTTCCTGTCTTGTTGTTTCCAAACTTCCTTCAAATTTCATTAATCATACTGAGCATAGTAAAATTTCCATTTGTCATTAAATTCCTCTACCAGTCTTCTGTTTGCATAATTAGTTAGCATTGTCACCTTCAACTAGTTACGGACTCTCACGTGCCTAGGAGAAAGGCATCTGTCAGACCTCAGTAATCGCTTCCTCCTGTGAGCAGGATTTGTCATCACTTTAGCTGGGGATCAAAGGAGATGCTTTGGTTAGAAATGGTAGGTGTCTGGTTCAGTTAATTAGAGCAACTCCTTAAGCAGAGGTGTCTCTGAATTCATACCTTTTGATACAACAGAAATCTTGAAAGGCGGTAGAGGTGCATGGAGCAAAGTTTTTCCGATACCATGAATACATTTCTGGTGTTTTGACTAAAGGCAGTTTTAAATGCTAGAGCAACAATATGCTGAGTAATCTGTGGATAGAATCTGCATTGTTTCCTGTAGCTTTTCAAGATACAAATTCACTTTTCTAGGTATATGAGCAGGCCTGTGATGAGTGGACCAGGACTGTATGACCCAACAACAATAATGAACGCAGATATTTTAGTGTATTGCCAGAAGGAAGGCTGGTGCAAACTAGCATTTTATCTGCTCTCCTTTTTTTACTACCTATATGGGTAAGTCACCATGTTCATTTCGACGCATTATGTAGCTCAGAAAGCTGCGTTTCTAGCAACTGGACAATTTAAGAAAGAAAATAAGAGTGTCGTAAAACCTCGCCACCAAGTGTCGGCGAGGAAGACAAGTTGCAGAAAAGCTGCTCTCCGAAAGGCTATACCAAGCCAGCCAGAAGGGATGTGTTGCGGGGGTTTTTGTGGTACTGAGTCGTCTGAATATTTGCTGCAGCCGCATCACAAATAAGGCGGTGGCAGGGGTGAATCGTTCAGCGAGAGATTTTCATCTCAAATTTTATTTTTTATTGAAAGCTTTTGTGTCCTGCCCTTCACAGTGTTTAAGGGCAGCGACTGTGCTGCGTGTGACTAACCAGAGGGTCTTTCCCACTGTGCCTTCATGGAGCTGTGCAGCCTGGGCCCGCGTCCCGAGTCCTAGGGGAAGAACAAGATGCTCTGTTTAATGGGCAGGTGTTGAGAATGGTTCTTTCAGCTACTGCTGGGCTAGCAGGTGGAGTGGTTAGCAACGCCCTTGACAGGGAGATGGTGGGTGGGCTGGCTCTGGGAGTTCGGCTGAGCTTATGCACTTCTGTAATGTAGCAAAAGGACACGTGCAGCTGGAGTGAATAGATGTGACAGCTATAGATGGGTGTCTGGTTCACTGTTTATCCTTCTTCCCACAGCATGATTTACGTTTTGGTCAGCTCTTAAGGACGATGCCCAGCAGACTTGGTTCCAGTAAAGTGCATGCAGAAAAGCCACAGAACAAAGAAGACTCTGCTATCGAGATTTAACTATGGAATCTGGTGTCCACAATTACAATGGGAGGATCGGACTTCCTCTTCTCACTCCCCGCAACCCTTCCAGTACGTCTGTACTTTAATACTCATGGACAGACTTTTTTAAAAAAATTATTGGGATGGTTAAAGTGACGAGAATTGCCTATAAATTGATGTAAAGCAATCGCCTCTGGCTTTGGAAGGTTTTCACCCTGCACTCCATAAGGAACAGCCCATGCCCTCCATTATAGCTGTATCAATTGCTGTATAGTGTAATAGAGGATTTGTTTGCTTTGTTTACTGGACTTTATAGTGGCTCATTTGAGTTAGGGACTTCCGTCTAGGTGTCAGTCGTAGGTACCAAGTGCTTCTGAAAGACTGAACGCTTCTCTGTATTATCTCTTAGGTAACCTCTGTGTGTCTTATAGATGAATATACGAGTACAACTGCAGGAGGAATAGTGGTTCTGTTTTTTACTCTCTGGAAATTCTCTGCCTCTGATGTGCGTGGCTCACACTTGCCATATTTACATGAACTGAAACCCCTTTGCTTTAATTTCCAAGCTAAGTGGATACAGTAGAGAAAGTGGAGCTAATGGTGAAGGTGCATTTTGAGACCACTCTTGTTTGAAAGCGGACGGAGAGAAGAAGGAATGTGTTACCATTTCAAGATACCATTTGGACCACACGAGGTAACAAAGGTAGTTCTGAGAGTGTGAAAGCTCATCACGTCCACTTTGACACACATGTGCAACGAGGTTGAATAAATTTCTGTGCGGTTCCTTAGTGCAATGCAATAAAGATCCAAAAGACAGGTATTTACCCTCTTCTGCTCGTTTAAGCCAAAAGTGCTTTGGAACGGTTGGTTTTAGTCAAATGCTGAGGCAATATCGTTCCAGCAGTAGCTTGTTTAAAGGTGAATGATTGCTGCGTGTACTGAACAGTTACACTGGCTGTAGACTGAAGATGGGGAGAAGCTAGGTCACAGTCCTTCTGTGGGCCGCCTCCTGCTTGCCGGCTGCTAGAATTCTTACTAAGGTGAAGAGACCATTCTGAAGAGCGTAGTCTCTGGAAGAGCCTCTTGTAACGTTTAAAGCACTTTGGATCACGGAGATTCCTGGAAAGCAGAAATGGAGAATCCGTCAGACTCAAGCTGGTCCACCCCTGCTGTAGACCAGCCTTCCCCCGTCTGGCGCGCTCCAGCTGCTTTGGACACTCGTCAGTCCAAGTCAGCATGGCCGGTGGCCAGGAATGCTTGGAGGGGGAGTCAAAAACGTCCGGAGGGTACCAGGTTGCAGAAACCTGCGTAGAGCATCCTGTGGCCATTGGCTGTGGAAGCAAGTTCCTCTCCACCGGTTCATGCTTCTTGGAGCAAAGGAGAAGGCAAGGGAATGGCGTTTAACCATGAGCGGCTCGTTTTGCTGCTGTTACAGGTTGTGTGAAGTCAACCATGGATATTTCTGTAGTAAGCAAGCCCTTTGTTTAGATCTATGGAGTTAAATTGGAATAAAAACGAAATGTTGCCCCATCTGTATGTTTCGTTACACCCTAGGTGTTTAAGAGCCTATCAAGCTGCAAAGCTGTTCTTGAGCAAGGGTGTTAGGATGTATTGATACGAGGTCGCAATTTGAGGCCCTAATCTCTCATGACAGCCAGGTAGTTTTTCTCTACAATCTTCTTTCCATTGCCATCTTCAGAAACGGCTGGTTTCTGGAGGCCGGTGTGTGAAGTCTCACATTATGTTCATGTAATGCTGTAATCTCTAGCTGTAGACTCCGACATTGCTTTAGTTCAGTTTCCATACTGGTCTGCTCATATAGAAAAGGTCTCTCTTGCTGCTTAACCTCTTGTAACGCAGCTGACTTCGTACATGTTCTTTAAACTCGTGCAGGCTGTGTGCAGCATTAGCTTCCACATTTGGACTCGTTTAGGCTTTTAAGAACAAACCAATGAGGTGTCACAGATGTAAGTCCGGCATTGCAACTTGGGTGGCAGACATCTTACTGGTCAGTCAGATGCTGCACAAGCGCACTCACACACCCGTCCGCTTTTTTAAAACGCAGTTCGTGTTTTCTGTAACAAGTTCAACAACACGGTACCAAAATGGGAACTTTAAAAACAGTGCTGGATCTCTCTGTGAAATGGGAGAGAATTGTATATGTGTAAGTTATTTTCAACTGCTTTCAAGTCTGAGAGAAAATTGTACCTGTGCTTTTAGGGGAAATGTGCTGCTGTCAGATTCTCTACCTCTCTTAAAGTGTGATGCCTGCATTCAAGCACTATTTCCTACATTTTCTTTCACACTAAACCTGCTCTTTAACGGTCTGGTCTCAGAAGTTGAATTAGTGGAGAGAATATTTAGATTCTCCTCATCTTTCAAGGATAAAAATTGGCAAATAGAATGCATGAAGTTCAATTAACCAGTAACAGGGGCTTTGCCATAAAAATGGTTTCTGACTTTCCTCTGCTTCTCTGTAAATGTACAGCAATCCGGTAAGACCAATAGGGGATGATATCAAATGGGAACAGCAATGGGTTTAAGTTGTATAGTAGAAAATATCTAAGAAGGAATGACAAATGGAATATATTAACCAAAGAAGTTGTGTAATTTTTCTGAGCATTAAAGGAATGAATGAGTAGCGACCTGCGATGTCCAGCTCTGATATTAACAGGCAAGCCATACTTGCAGGTACAGTGTATTCTCAAGGTCTTTAAGGTGTGGTAAGAACGATACCTGAAATTCTAGGACTATGGCCTTCCCCACTTAGAAACTGGGATATTATCCATGTGAGCACTGCAGACATGGGTGTGTATTATGGTGGCATATTTGTAGTTTTTGACCACGGCAAAAGTTGTTTGCATGTATATACCAGAAGTGAAATTTGTGGTGTTTTTTGAGACTTGATCTAGGGGGAAAAATGTTTATAGCCTTTGGAAGGCTTACATGAAAGAAAAACAAGCAACCAATGTAACCACTCTCGATCTAACATCAAAAGGAATTGTTGCCCAAATTGTATTGTCAAAGCAGGAAAGTTAAAATGGAACAGGAGGAATGTCTGGCTTGACAGACACCAGTTTGCATATGCTGGTTGTAGAAAGCTTTCATAGCAGTCTTCCCTCTGAAGTTAGGAAAACACCACCAAAATGTCGGGTTAGGCAATGCCTAAAATTTGGAGGAGGGTTGGCAGTTCAGTACAGCGATTTCCTGGCCGCAGTTACCGAGCAGCACATAGATTTTGAAGCAAGTGGGCAGGGAAGTCCAGTGCTGGGATCCTGACACACGCTGTTCAGGGTTTTCCCTTACAGCAGCCCCTTGCACCCCCCAAAAGCCGCTCCTGAAGGCTGCATGGTGCTGCAGGGACGTTCCATGTGGTATGTGGTGCTGCTTCCAAAAACGCAGCCTCCGTTGCCGCCCTGTGCATCTAGAGAAGCATTTTGCATGTACGCACAGGCCCTTCCGGAATCTATTTAAATGCGTTTGCTGTTGCAACTGCTGCAGTTACATCAGTCCCTGATCAGCCTCTACTAGGAACCACGTGCCATCCTTATAAAACATTCATCTGTATTTCTTCTAGAGCTGTAGATCGCAAGTCTGCCATGGCATTTATTCTCTCGTGTTTTCCACAAAATCTTTGAAATTCAGCGGCCCAAGCATTGCCGGTGCTAAATAAAAACGAGCCAAAGCAGTTTCCTTGACTCGGTGCAGTCCTATGCATTTTATGTTTTGCTGGAAAGTCTGAGGACCTTCCAGCCAAAGCTGATCAAGACCCCATCCTATAGCTGAAGTAGTTATATTCTGCCTTATAATAAGTTTACCATAAGGCTTCACATAAACTGAAGAGGTAAGTATAAAAGCAAGTGCATTTCCCGTCAATGAAGAAAAATACACACAAAGGGAGTTAAAAAGAAGGGTTTAATGGAGTCATTTATTATGAACTCTTCCACATGTAACGTTTTGAATGAATCTGATCATGCACCCCTGACAGGTTGCTTTTTTTGTAGTGAGCAGTGCAGCAAGAATATGATGATAGGGTAACCGAGGAATTCCAGTGAAAAGTAGAGAGAGGTTCAGGGGGCACAAATGCATGCATTTTTACCGGGAAATGGGCCTTGCTAGAGTACCTTCTGTAGCCAGGTGGGCAGCCAGGGCATCTTTAAAATCGTGGAGGTAGTTGTACTGCTGCAAGGAAAAGCAGAGGATGATTCAGGTGAACATACGGCAGCATTTGGATGACCAGACCTCTCCAGACACAGGTGCTGAAGTCCGTAGAGAAAGGTACTGATGGTATAGCGAGTATGGATCCTCACAGACTCCGAGGAATTCCTCCCTACTCTGCCACCCTCTAGCTGTCAAGCGGGCGCCCCCTCTTCGGGTTCTGTGAGGGAGGCAGGGGGTGTAGCTGAACATCCATTCCTGTTTGAGTTCAGTTTTGTGCTGTGGCTTCCACTTTGTCCTTTCTCAGTTGAGCTGGCTTAGAAAGGCCAGTCTGCTGTGCCACATCAGAGAAGGGAATGAGGTGTCAAATTTCCGTATTGTGCTTTTTGCAAAACACTCGCAGCTCAAGGACAGAGTGCAGAATAAAGCACGGAAAGACGTGAATGCCGTAGTCTAGATACAAAAGGATAAAAGACCAACTAGTATCAACAGGGATCAAGAGCAACGGTGGATTTTGATATGGCCTTGTGGCTAAGTGTAAAAATAGTGCATTCTGGATGCTGTCACCCATGACAGGATGTACTGCCTTACTCTCAGAAAGCCAGGAGAGACTTCTAGTGCCAAGCAAAAGATGGTTATTAATTAGTTGTCCCCTCTTAATCTCTGCCTGCCTCCCCAGCAGGCCCAACACAGCCCAATCCGTACCTTTACAGTCTGCATTGCGCCCGAAGCCCTAAAGTCTCGCAGGCTGTCTGGCCTCCTGTGGAGCCACAGAATCGGGTATCTGCAGGAGAAGGCAAGCTGCTACTGTAAAGGATGAAAGAATTTCAGTTAACAGTCTAACGGCCTTTTTACTCTGGAGACAGAACCGCTTTGGAAGCCAAAGCAATGCATACCGAGATGTAAAGTTTTCTGTACAGGGATAGCGCCAAATAATTCCAGTCGAACTTGGTGGAGCTTGCTTCAGAGCAGTCTGGCAGGAATGGTGCGCCCAAACTACAGTTCCCCATTGACCGTTTCAAACATGCTGTGAGAAATTTATTACACATATTACTGAGGCTAAAGCTGAGAGAGAGGCTTGTGTGGTCCCTAGAGTGCTCACGGTTGCGCTACACATCAACTGGGAAGTATTCTTGCATTTCACAGCCTCTGGCCCTGATGCATAGATAGGTACCAAGTTTATCCCTCTGAGGTGGGCTTTGGTTGGTGAAAACTTCTGCCACAATATATCTGCGGGTCCTCCAGATGCTACAAGACTCCGTTGTGTTGGTGGAGCTGAGTTTTAAATCAAAGGTTCCCATGTCCTAGCCAGTCCTGTTAAACACAAGACATATTGTACAAGTCTCACCTCCCTTTTTAAGGGCTCCGTCCACTCACCTTGTGACCTATTCCATGTTTTAGGCAACTTATGGAAATGCATGCAAGGCTTTGCCTCCAAAGTCTTGTATAGCTGAGAGCTAGGTTTCCCCCACTTCTCTCTTTCACAGTGACATAACAGTTTTTGGCAAAAGCTATTTCCAACGTACATCCAGCAAACTATAGCCACTAAATAAAGAGCCTCTGAGCATCCACAGAGCAGCTTCGAGAATCCCCCTTTTGATTAACCCTGAACCCCACCCCACTGTGAGTGCCCTTCCGGAGATGGGTCGGTCTCCTAGCTCTGTGCAGCCTCTAGCTGGCTAACCCTTCTTTTGAGGCAGTGTGTGGGTTCAAGAATTGTCTCGGGCTCTTCTGGCTACTTTCCCATGCCCTCTTCCTGGCTGTTCTCAGGGTCAGCCTGAACACCTGGAGACAGTGGCCTTGAGATAAACTCTTCCGCCTCCACCATTCCTGTGCCTGGGGGCCTCATTCCCTCTCCATCTGAAGAGTCTGTGTGACCTTGGTCCTGAAATGCTCCTCGAGAACAACTGCCTCCATTCCCAGCACCTGTATTTCAACCTGCCAGGTCTTTTGCTGGAGGGGAATTTAGTGCTATTAAAAACTATGAGAGCCCGATATGTTCCAGGTACACACAGTTCTTCCAGCCTGGCATTGAAAGGGGACCTCAGCGTTTTGCTTCTAGGATGAGGCGGGAGGATATTCTGCGTCATGCACAGATTCATCATCAGACCAATTCATGCACAGGACTAAACTAGCCATGATAAACCAATCAATGCTTGGCATGTATTCTTTTAAAAAACAAAAGATGCTGCTTACTGAGACAGGATCGGCCAAGTCCTCCATAACAGCTGGAAGAAGATGGCGGCACACCAGTAAATGCCACTGTTCTAGAAAGCCAGTTCTCTCTCATCACCGCCGCCACCGCACTGCGCATGGAGCCCACCTTTCCCCTTTCGTGCGCAACGCCGCATGGCTCGCATGGCTCTCTGTTACCCTCACAGCATCCACCCTGTGAGGGAGCTCAGGCTGAGAGTGGCCACTCCGAAGTCGAGCCGGGAGCTTCGGGTCTGAGTGGGGACTAGAACCCGGGCCTTGCAGGTCCTCGTCCAGCACTCAAGCCACACACCGCGCAGGCTCTTGGGTGGTTTCTTAAGCTCCGTAGGAGGGAAGGATAAAACTATAATAACAATGTAGAATAAGAAGAAAACCTGCAATGACCAAGGGCGGCCTGACTTCACCACCTCACTGCCCTTCTCCCATTTTTTCTGCTAAAGCACTCTGTTTTGAAATCTCGCCACAGGGAGACTGTCCAGGGCATGGCCCATTTTGTATCTTTCTTCTTCGCTATACTGGGACAAAGCTGCAGCTAGAGGAAGGCGACATTTGCAGCAGAGGTATTACCATTTTTGTACGCAGCTATGCAACACTGACCAGCTCTGTGAGTAAGGGAGGAGGATAAAGGACAGTATTAAGCGGACTGCAACTCACTGCATTAAGGTTTTCCGGTTATATTTGAGGCAGCTCCTCAGTTCATTTAGGATCAGGCAGCATCTCGTAATATCTGGAGTCTCTCCGTCAGGAATAGGGTGATGGTGCACAGTGATCCTGTGACTCTGATACGCCTCCAGAAGGTGTGGCACACGATACTTGGAGAGTTCACCCCTGGTACAAAGTACAAATATGTCTTGCACGCCATGGTTCCTCAGTTCGTCTGCAGAGAAGTGGAAGTGCTTGCTAAATGACATGCAAATCTTGTGAAATCTCGTTTGGAAAACAGTCCAAGTTGACTTTGCAACAAGAAACTTGCACATTTCGGACTGAATCCTCGAGCAAACTAACAGTGCCACGCTTTATAGCTTCCCTAATTTTAGCAACAGTACGCTTGCCCTGGAAATGGGATTTTTTGGCAGAGAGAGTGTTGTTTGCGGTACAAAACTGCAAGGACAGCAACACTAAGCAAGTATTTTATCCGTATTTTGTACCGATTCAGACCATGGGTCCACCTGGACCTGTAATGGCAACACTGCCTGGCCGCAGCGGCTCACCAAGAATTCAGCCAGTGCCCTTTCCTGACCTTACCTGGAGATGCCAGGTACTGAGTCAAAGCCCTGCTGTGCGGGGAAGCGTGTGTCCTGCCACCAAGCTATACCTACCCCGCCAGCTGGTAGGATTAACTGACCCCCCCATCAACAAAAATATTCCCCCACAGAATTAATAACCAATGGATCCGAAGGGCATACAATTCGCTAAGATTTCTGCGGGAACCTCCTCGTGGCTTAAGGTTCGCTTTTAAGGACCTTCCCCACTCGCCTCTGCCTTCGGTTGCCAGGGAAAGCACCTTCTGTGATGAAACGGTCTTGCGAACTGGTCTTCCCGTGGTTCCTCACCTGCTGTCTAGCCTGCCAGGGTGAAACCGCTAAAAAGCAGTATGTGTCTATTAAACAAACGGATGAAGGGAGGACAGTCCTAGCTTCAAGGGCCCAAGAGCCTCAGGTGACAATAACGAATGGCTGAAAATCCCATTGACACATAGTTACCTATATCTTTCTGAAGACTTCTTCTAGTACTTTTGAATCGGCAGCCTAAAATGATGCAACATGGGTGCAAAAAAGAGAAAAGATCAAACAAAAATACAACTAGAACTACATATTTTTGAATACAAGCTGCCCCGATCCATTTACAGACCAGCTTGGCTAGTTATATTTCATTTTGGATACATGCTTTCATACCCTCCAGAAAGGACAAGGGGAAGGATCTTACCCAATTCATGGTTCTCTTTGACTTAAAAACACAGTAGGACCCAAATTCCATGGTACAGGAAAGCTCACATTTATGGCTCAGGCTTAGATAGATGGATGGTGAAGCTCGCTGATTGACTCTTCTTTTCTAAATTAATAAGCTTTTACCTTTGCTACATACCTGGTAGTGAACATATTCCCAGAAACTGGGAGTAGGCTGGTGCCAGGGCTAACCTGCAAGAAAAAAGACAGCTAAACACAGAGTCATTTAAACTGCAAGCAGCCAAGTTCTCTTTATACATGTGGTGTTCCTCTACAGCAGGACTCACAAAGTTTTATTACTGAGAACTGTGGAAGAGCATAAGGTTTGCCTTGCATTGCAGGACATAAGGATGTGTCAGAAACCTTGTTTGACACAATCCAGGAATTACACTGATAAATAAATAATCCAGAAATAATTTGGGGAGCTATCCTGAAAGGAACAAAGCATCCCTCACCATTCAAGGGCATAAGAGATTTTCACCAAGATAGCTGAAGGCAACTTTTGCAATATCCTTGAACATTTTACATAAACTCCCTGTCAAAAGGAGAAATTTAAGATACACTGGCTACAGAAATGGTTGCTGAACACAGAATGCCTACCCTTCAGTGCAGAAACTTAGAACTGCTTCATTTCAGCCATTCTTTATGAGAATTTGCTAAAAACATTATATTCCTCATAAGGCAATTATTAAATGTCCTACTGATTGGACAATTTCCTGTGATTTTATGAAGAATGGCATTGTTAATTTGTATAACAATAACATATTGGGAAGGCTGCCACACCTTAACTACGGAGTTACTTCCATACCTCCACAATGAAAGCCTCCAGTGTCTCAATCATGCAATATACCAGACAAAGATGATGACCTATTCTTAGAGGTTGCCACATTGTACAAATAGGGAGAATAAACGCATGATTAAAAGGCAGTGGTACTGGGGGGATGTCTGCCCCCCCCCCCGGCACTTGCTGTGGGTTCCAGCAGCAGGGCTCCACCTTCCTTCTTGTTGGTGAAGGTTGGTATGAAGCTACTGGGTTCGTTGAACCATGTTCCATTAAGGGGCTCCGTTTTTCCTTATCATCTGGGTCAGGTCAGGCCAGACAAGTGCCGAACCGCTGCCTGGATCTGATAACGGGCTGGATGAGGACCCCTAAGTTGAAACTGAATCTAGACAAGATGGAGGCCAGTGGTGGTGGTTTCTCGAGAGATGATGTTCAGTTCCGCATGGGGTCCTATTTCGCCTGGGAGTGCAGGTTTGCCGCTTGAGATTTCTGGACGTAGCATGAGCGACCTCTGTGGCATGGGGTGGCTTCGACTAGCTGTGGCTGCCCACCAGTTGTAGCCACTTCTGAGATAGTCTGGGCACGGTCATTTGTGTGTTGGTGACCTCCTAGTAACCTTGGATTACAGCAATGGATCAACGTGGAGCTGCCCTTGGAAACTGCTGCAAATTGAAATACCACAGACTGTAGCGGCCAGGATTCTGCCTCGACCTGCTCCGTTTACCCGTGCCATGCCAATTCAAACAGCTTCATTGTTCACTTTCGGACCCAGTTCAAGGTGTTGTTTTTCCCTAAAAAAGCTATGGCGCCCGGAGCGTGTGGGAAGCAGTGGGGCTTTTGGGTGCTAAACCTGTGAAGGGCTGTACCTTAAATTGCTTGGAACCCAAACCCCCAGAGCAGTGCCTGGTGCTTTATCAGCCCTCCGACAAGGCCCTGCTCCACGTGCGTATTCGGCCTGTCCCAAACAGGGATGGAAAATGTGAGTTCTTTCCGCTGTTGTTGGACTGCAACTCCCATTATCCCTCACCACTGGCTATGCGTTTTAAGTTTAGCTTCTGCTATCTTGCTTGGGGTTTTCTTGTACTGGTTTTATGCAGTACATTACCTGCAAATGTGATAGGAAGTAGAACACTACCAATATTTTAATGAAATAATTAAACAATTGGTTCCCCTTCCCCCACTCCTTCACCCCCCCCCCAAAAAAAAAAAGGGCAGAGAAGGGCATCAAGGCAGTAGGCTGAGTTGTTAAGTGAACACAGTGACCTGGTTTGGACCACACGAGAACCCCCTTGCTAGTTATTGAAGATGGCCTGAAACGGGGGCTGCTTCATCCAGAGTGCTTTTTTCCCCAAAACGAGCCCCTCCCCAGCACCTAGAAGCTGCTCTCACCCATGAGAGCCAGTGTGGTGTGGTGGTGAAGAGCGTGGGACTGGGACTCAAGCGACCTTGGTTCGAGTCCCCGCTCAGCCACGGAGCCAACTGGGTGACTTTGGGCCAGTCACAGACTCTCAGCCCAGCCTACCTCACAGGGTTGTTGTTGTGGGGATAAGATGGAGGAGGAGAATGATGTAAGCTGCCTTGAGTCCTTTGAGGAAAAAGGCAGGATATAAATCGGAAAATAATAACAACAACAAATAATGGTAGGCCGTCATCTGACCAGATGACATGGCCTTCCCTGGGCGGCCCCAACAGTTGGCAAGCTTGGCGAGAGTCCATTCTCCTGTACCAGCTCTGTTCGCAGTATAGGGACAACGGCACATTTCATTCTTCTCTGTCCCAGGAAGGAAGCAGAACAAGGAGAAGCAGGAGTCTTACCATCTTCTTGGCTCATTGTGGGCATCGTGTGGAGTAACGAACCCGTTTTGGCCCATTGCCCGGGTGGATGGTAGTGTCCTGTGAACTCTGTCAGTGACGAGTCCACAGTCCCCGAACCCTAACCGTGGACTAGGCAGCATGGCTGGCTGGGTTCAGACAATGCTACAAGTAACTGAAGGTGGCTGCCTTAGAAATTTTGCTTTTGGCGCATCAGTGACAGTGTCATAACTCTTCTCTTAAACCAAATGTTTTTTTGCTCCAAGAATAGATCTAAAACTGTGCATCTTAGAACGATCCATTTATTTTAGATTATTGTGTTGTGCTTTCCAGTAGAGGTTCAGTGAGAGCAGTAATATTTAGCAGTGCGTAAAAAATAAATGACATTAATAGAATCCTTCTCCTACACCCTGCCTGTTAAAGTCTTTCTTGAATAAAATGAAACTGAGCCAGAAGGTAGTTTTTTGTTGCACTCAGACAGAGGTCAGGGCTCTGGGTCATTGGAAGATGTACAGGTCCTTGTTTTTAAAATATGTTTATATTTTGGCTGTGGGTTTAGGCTCGTTGTCCTGCTGGCAGTTTGAACCTTGGCAGTCACCCCTGACCAAGTTCCCAGTCCCTGCCAAGGAAACGCACCTCATGTTTTCCTGGGGGTGGGGGTGGCATTCTCAGGACGGCGAGCAGTGCTGTCCTTGTGCCCCACGCGAATGTCTTCCAGCACGGCCCACAATCCATCCTTGGTCTCCGTTGGTTTGCTGTGTCTCCCGTGTGCCTTTCTGCAAACACCAAACCGGCTCTGGCGTGGCCTTGTTTTGGCACTGTCCTCCGCCTCCTCCCTCAGCCCAGCGTTGTGGCGCGCTGGATGGATGGTTTCTCCTACCTGAGCCGTGGGTCTCTGGCCGCTTCGGAGTTCGCACTGACCCCTGTTGCGTCTCTCCTCACCTGGGCACTGGGGTTTGGCGGGCTGGACGGCCGCCTCTAGACAGAGTTGCAGCCGCAACGTATTCTCTGCATTTCGGACGGGTCGGTTTAATGGTGCTCTGGGGAATGTTCCCGTTTGGGAGACGTTTTTATAACCCAACCCTGATCAGTGCTCCTGCACCATTTTATCCTGGCTTTGTTTCCGTATCTTCTTGGTCTTCCTGTCACTGCTTGCTTAGATTTGCTCTCCAGAAAACTCGGGGCCTTGCAGGAAAGGTGCATTTTATCTGAGATTATGTGATACTGGACTTGCACACAGGTGGACTCCATCCTTCTGCTTACAGTACAGTATGTGCCTTCTGGAGGGAGGGGTTGCCCTGGGGCTTATTTAGGCATGTCACTGCAAAGGAGGTGAATCTGCTTGCAACCAGTCAATTTCAGAATGTTTTTGTTCACTTAACTTTTGTTGTTGACATGCGCCCTCAAGTCATCCGAGCCCTATGGTGACCCTAGGAACGAAAACCCTCCAAAATGACAGTTCCATGTGTACCACAGTGAACTCTCTTAACCACTTGGAGCTCAAGTGGTAACAGTGCCAGTTAAATTTATTTCAGTTCCAGGCTGCAAGACAACCGATTGTGAGTGGGAGCAAATGCTCCTGCAAGGCACTGGATAGCCCTGCTTTCACTTTAGGGTTCCCACAACCACCGAATGCACAGTGGAATATAAGGATTGTGCCGAATAGTCCTCACTTCTGCACCTTTGGCCGAATGTGGGAATGGGCTCAAAGAAGGTACCAATGTGGGAGTGTGTGGTTTGTAGCCACTGTTCGGATCCTGGACTATTCCAGGGTCGCTGATTGTGTATGGACAACTCATGCGGGTGCACACACCAGAGCATCTTCACTGCGGGGCAGCGGGCAAGGGCAGGCAGCTCAGTCCTGCTCTACTTCCCTGCTTTTAGTGAATGCAGGAAGATTAAGGTAAGGATGGGGCTATGCTTGTACTTCAAATTCTTGGAAAGAAAAGCAGAACGGAGACAGCTGGAAATAAACAGAGAACTCAGATTAGAAGCCACTGCTACCTGAGCGAGAGGGAAGAAAACTCCAAAGACGTTCCAGAGGCAATTCCTTTGGACAATGGGCTGTATTTCTGCTCGCTTTGGTCTTACCAGGGATACTTGAAAAGGTGTCTGTCCTTCCTCCAAGGGTTCCTCATCTGAGGAGTAGAATTCATCGATGGCACTGCAGACACCTAAAGATTGTTACACCATCAATGTATTTACTGCACATCCCTACTCCAGGCAGTACAAATTAACTTCCTATTCCACACTTTTATAAATGCTTCATACCTGCATGGACTTCCCTAGCTGTCTTTTTTTTTAATGTCTAGACCAACATTGTTTTATGTTAAACATTGCAGCATTTAGTTAATAATTGAAGACTAAGAGAGGTATCATCATGGGGAATATGGGAAGCTATGTTATACTGGGTCTGAGCATTGGCCATTCAGCTCAGCATTGTCAACACTGACCGATTTACAAAGTCATGAGGGAGGAGGCCCTCTGTGGCTGCTGGCCTTGCTGGCCATGGGCTCCCTCCTTCACCGGGGGCGGCCTGCCTGCGAAGCCCAGTTGCTGCGGAGCTGGGCAGGCGAGGCCTTGCACCCATCCTGCCTGGGGGATCCTGTGGGCAGCTGGTTTGCCGCCCTGCGTGGAGTGCTGGCTACACTAGATGGGCCTTGGGTCTGATCCAGCAGCGCTGGACTTACGTTCTTATGACTGGCAGTAACGGCTCTCCAGGGTTTCAGGGAGTTTTCCAGTCCCGCCTGGGAATGCGGGCAGAGATCAAAGTGGTGGTGTCTCGGGAGGCAGCTTCAGTCATACGGTCCAGTTGCTTGAGGGTCCCAGAGATCTTCAGGCTTCCCGCAGGCAGGGGAGGCTAGAGAAGAGGTCACACTCTGGGATGGGTTCAGATGTGATGGAAGGCCTGAGCTGAAGCAAGGCCGCGGAGGACTTCCAAGGTAAGGAAAACCAGTGCAAGATTTAGGCAGGGGCGACACATGGTCAGAGTAGAAAGAGATGGGTAGTGGAGTCATTTATACCGCGATCTATGCACACCACTCTTTCTTAGGACGTTCCAATTAGCACAATAGGACTCGCGTATGGGAAAATGCAGCTGACAATGCATATTTGGCAATTGTATTCTTACACTCTCGTGGCTATGCTAGCCACACCAGGAGCTGAGGGAGGGACATATACCCGCTAATAAAGTGGGAGCGATCTAACTCCCAGATCTGTTGAGGGTCTTTTTTTGGGGGGGGGGGGGACTAGGGAAGGCTAGCCTGGCCTGGAGGCCTGGCCTGGAGGAGGCCTGGCCTGGAGGCCTGCTAGGGCCACATGTATTGACGCCCCCGGCAGCCACAAGCCCATGTCTAGCCCTGATGATGTTTCTGAGGGAGGCAGTGCCCCACCGGGTGTGTTCTGGGAGAAAAGGCCTAGATCCAAAGCCTCTCCATTTCCTGGGAAAGTCCATAATGCCTCCTTCCACAGCACCATGACGGTTTCTTGTTTTATGTCATCAAACTGACCTGTGGCGGCCCTATAAATGTTGTTGTTGCTGCTGCTAGTCGCAAAGTCGTGGCCAACCCACCGCGACCCCAAGGACAACATCCCTCCAGGCCTTCCTGTCCTCCACCATCCCCAGAGTCCACCCAGGCCCACACCCACCACCCCAGTGACCCCATCCAGCCCCCTCATCCTCTGCCGCCCCCTCCTTCTTTTGCCCTCAATTGTTCCTAGCATCAGGCTCTTCTCCAGGGAGTCCTTCCTTCTCATCAGGTGGCCAAAGCATTTGAGTTTCAGCTTCAGGATCTGGCCTTCTAAAGAGCAGTCAGGGTTGATCTCCTCCAGGACTGACCGGTTTGATCACCTTGCGGTCCAAGGAACCCGCAGGAGTCTCCTCCAGCACCACAATTCAAAGGCCTCAATCCTTTGGCGCTCAGCCTTCCTTGTGGTCCAACTTTCACAGCCATACATTGCAACTGGGAAAACGATAGCCTTGACTATACGCACTTTTGTCGGCAGGGTGATGTCTCTGCTTTTTAGTATGCTGTCTAGATTTGCCATAGCTTTCCTCCCCAGGAGCAAGCGTCTTTTAATTTCTTGGCTGCAGTCTCTGTCTGCAGTGATCTTGTAGCCCAGGAAAATAAAATCTGTCACTACCTCCATTTCTTCCCCATCTATTTGCCAGAAAGTGAGAGGACTGGATGCCATGATCTTAGTTTTCTTAATGTTGAGTTTCAAGCCAACTTTTGCGCTCTCTTCCTTCACCCACATCAAGAGGCTCTTTAGTTCCTCTTCACTTTCTTTCCAATTGCCATTCGACCAATTACCAATACCGAGGGTAATTTGCTCTGTCTATGCTCAGAGGCACCCTTGACATGCTTCTCAGCGCGGGAAGCCTGTAAAACGGAGTGCCCGGTGGGGGGGGGGGGCGGGAAAAGCCTTTCGCGGCTCCCTCTGCAGAAAAAGGCCCCGCCTGCCGCTCGCTCCCCTCCCCTCCTCTGCGTTGCTAGGATACCACCCCTTCCTCACCTCGGCCGAGCGGACTCGCGCCATCTTTTAAAAAAGCAATCCAAGCGCGCAGCCGTTGGCTAGCAACGGTCTCGAAGGTGACGGGGCGGGGGGGTAACGGCTCGCGCAGGCCGGAGAACGCGGATTGGTTCCCTCTGCTGTCCGTCGCTTAGGCACGCCCTATCGGCGACGTGGGAGGGCTCGCGCCTCGGGCAGCTCCGCTTCTCTTCCCTGTGGCGGGAGGTTCGCCGAGGCGCTGCGCAGGCGCCTGTGGAAACCCGCAGGCAGATGGGCACGCGGCCGCACCCTGCGGCCCATGGTCCCCAGCACGGAACAGGCCCCGGGGAACCCAGTGGGGCCTGCTTCTGCCTAGAAGCGCCGTGTGGGGCTGCCCTGCTCCTGTCAGGCGGAGGGCCCGCAAGAGAGGCCTTGCCTCCCAAAAGCGGGGAAACGTGGCTGGCCTGGAATTCGGTCTGTGGTGTTCCAGAATGTTCCTGAGTTCAAAGGTAGACACTCCCAGTGGAAAATAACGCTATAGCTCAAACAGGCAGAAAAGAACCCCCCCACACACACATACCTAGGGAGCTCCTTAAAGACTAACAGATTTATTATAAGACAGACCCCACACTTGAAGGCTTTAAAATAGGTGGAGAAGAATATAAATCGTTATGCAGATGATAAGTTTTTACTATTTTTGAATCCACATCAGTCTATACAGTATACAAGGGTGGACTAGTGGACTCATATGGTGGCCTTGTGGAATAATGAAAATAATAGAAAATTGATACATGCAGAAATGCAGAAAACCTTTAAAATCAAGTTTCCCGTGATTCCCAAGAGTATGCTTTTGAATGTAATGCCAGAGATCCTTGCAAAGGATACGTCAGAGTTATTCAAATACATCACAACTGCAGCAAGAATCGCAATTGCTTCTAAATGGAAATCACCAGAGCACCCAACAATTGAAGAGTGGAAAAATAGATTAGTAGAATATGCGGTGATGGCAAAGTTAATTAATAACTCTGCTAGAAGAATTGAACCACAGATGGAAACTTTACTATGCTCAGAACTGATTGATCAGTTTTAAGGGGAGTTTGAAAGGGAGGAAGAGGGGAAAACCAGGAAAGGATATGAAGTAACTGTTGTATAGATAAATGATTTCCTTTTTGGGTAAACTCCCATAGAGTGTTGAAAGTGATAGATAAATTTGAGGGGTGGGGTTAAGTGTTTTGAAAGTATTGGTTGTATTGATTTCCCTTGGCAACTTTGATCCAAGGTTCAATTTGGATGCCAGGAAGCACTTCCTGACAGTCAGGACCCCGAGGGTGTGGACTGGGCTTCCACGGGAGGTGGCTGAGGCCCCATCGGTGCGGGTGTTCAAGGATAGGCTGGACATGCACATGGTGGGCACGTCGTGAGTGGAGCCGGCTGGAGCCAGGGGTCAGACTAGATGGCCCAGGAGACCCCTTTTGACTCGCTCTGTTTCTGTTTCTATGATCATTTTAGCTTGTCTTAGTTTACTTTGTTTTATATATGTTTTTTCTGTATTAGTTCATCTTAAGAAAAGAAAAATTTTATTTAAAAAAGACTAGTGGATTTATTCAAACAGAAGCTTTGATGGCCTGAAGACCACTTCAGTTGCAATGAACTAGCAAAGTCTGGAGGCATCTTAGAGTTTAAGGGTGTAATCTGATACACTTTAGGCAGAAAATAATGGCCAACTGGTTGGAGAATGCTGGGAGTTGCTGGACTTTCTTCTGTCTAAACATGCCCTTTTCCAGAAAGTTTTGAGATAGAGCCTGCTTTGTCAGCTGCTGAAGTGGGCAGTTGTTAGAGCACTTAGGAACTTTTGGCTATCGAGTTGTAGGACTCCAATTCGCATCACCATGGCCAAGGGATGATGGGAGCAGGAGCCAGAGGGAGGGGCTCTAGCTCAGTGGGAGAGTCCATAGTTCCATACTGAAGGCTCTAGTTTTGAACCCCTGCATCTCCAACAGTGCTTTTTTTTGTAAGAAAAAAGGTGGCGGAACTCATGAAATTATTTACCTTTCGCACAGAGTCATTCACTGTACACACACCCACACATGTCAGTTGTGTAACAAAACAATGGTCGCCACCCACAGTAAGTGCTCGGCACGCGACCACACGACCAATCACAAGCCGAGCAGCGCCATCACAACCAGTGCGGACGAAGTGCGCACGCATCGGACTTGACACGCAAGCAGCCCGCATGCGCCGTTTTAATGATTTTGCCACCGACCGGCTACGCTCGACAGGGTGATTCAAATCCACATGGACCAAACATCAAGTTTTCAAAAGTTACTTTTAAAACTTGGAAAATCTGTCGAAAAAAGGTGCCGGGACTCTGTTCCGGTGCGTTCTATGACCAAAATAGCACTGATCTCCAGGCAGGGCTAGAAAAACTCTTGCCTGAAATCTTGAAAAGCTGTTGCTGCCAGTCCATGTTGACCCTATTGGTCTAAATCAGGGGTTCTCAAACTTTTTGAAAAGGGGGCCAGTTGAAAGGTGCCAGCGATGGGCACGGGGCCACCCAGGCGGTGTGGGCATGGGGTGTGGGGGGGTGGGGGGGACGTGTGCGCGTGGCCAGAAAGGCAGGGGCATGCATGCGCAGATATCATTTTCTTCCAACGAGTCCAAAATGATCTTGCAAGCAAGCTGGTCTTGCTCACAAGGAGATTGTTTTGGACTGGCTCTGAGAAAAGGATCTCCCAACAAGGCGCGGGCTTGCTCACAAGGAGATCCTTTTCTCCAAGCCAGTCCAAAACGATCTCCCCTCACTCAGAGGAAAGGATCTCCCAGCAAGTCTCTGGCTTGCTCTCAAGGAGATCCTTTTCTCCAAGCCAGTCCAAAATGATCTTGCGAGCAAGCTGGCATCTCACCACACCCGGACACATGCGTGCGCATACGTGGTGAGCTATGGCGGGCTGGATAAATGGGCATGTTGGGCCGGATCTGGTCCCCGGGCCGTAGTTTGAGGACTCATGGTCTAAATGGTGCAAAGCTCAGTCTTGAAATAAGGCAGTTTCCTATATTCCTATGAGTTCAACAACAACTGGAACGCTACAAATTCTCTCACTTCTCTGCTAAAGTAACTTTAGTAACCCCAGATTTATTAATTTAATCAATATTTGTTGTGTTAGATGTTGCCCAAAACAGACCAAAATAGATTGAAGAAAAGCGAAACAGCAATATTTATTAAGAGTACAGCACGCAAGGCTGTCGGCATATTATTACACATGCAAGGCTGAACACCTTGGAACTACGTAGCACACAAATTAGAACAAAGCTTTTATAGTTGACTTCATCCTCTAACAACTTTTTCATTCCCCGCTCCCCCCCCCCCGCACCCCAAGGCTGGTAATTGTCCTTCCTCTGTTCATATCTAAGGATGACCTTTTCAAGCTGCAGCTCAGAGGGTCATCCTTGGCCTGGTCCCTTGTTCTCTCTTATCTAAGAGCAGTTCTGCAGCTACATACACACAAGTTTTCCTTTTAACCCTGTATTTGTAAGTACCAAGAGGACACCATCTTCTCCAACAGTTGCTATGTGCAGTCAGGTCCAACTTAATGGCAACTCTGTGAATGAAAGCCGTCCCGGAATGTCCTGCGCACAACAGCTCTGCTCAGCTTTTGTTCATGGCTATGGCTTACTTTATGGAGTCCATTCATCTTGTGATTGGTTTTTCTTTTTTTCGTCTGCCTTTAGCTTTCCCTGCATGATTGTCTTCTCCAGGGAGTGTTGCCTTCTCATGGTTCATTCAAAGTATGACACCTTTGGTTTTGTGAGTTTTGTTTCTAGAAAAAGTTCCAGCAAGAATCCACTTGTTGCCTTCCTCTGGACTTTTCTGTTTTTTTCCACCTCTTTCTTAAATCTCTGTGCCCAGAACTGCACACAGTATTCCTGATGAGGTCTGACTAGTGAGGAGTATAGGAGAACTACTTCTTGTAATTTGGAAGTAATTC